CCCAGGGACATGATTTGAATCTGGAATGTCCTGCAAAGGCTCATGAGTTGAAGGCTTGGTCTCCAATGCAGCAGTTTCCAGAGGTGGGGGCTTTGGAAAGTGACTGGATCCCGAGGGCTCCAACCTCACCTGTGGATTCAAAACTTAACGAGCAACGGGCGGTGGTGGAACCTCAGGGGGTGTGTTAGGACTGGAGGATGGAGGCACTAGGTCACTGGGGATGTGCCCTTGGAGGGTATATTTTTTCCCTGGCCAGTTCCCCTCTCTTTTATTTTGCTTTCTAGCCTCCATGAGATGAGCAGCTGTGTTTTGCCACACACTCTCACCATGATGTTCTGCCTCAGCACAGGCCCAAAGCAGTGGGGCCAATGACCATGGACTGCAACTTCTACAACCATGAGCCAACATGAAACTTTGTTCCCTAGAAGTTGATTATCTCAGGCATTTTGTTACAGTGACAGAAAGCTGACTAATTTACCCAATAAATGGCTCTCACCCCCCATGCACAAGAGGGCTTGTCAAGAGAGCAGCTGGCCCCTTTCCCACTTCTGATTCAGGAGGATTGGGTGGAGGCTGAGAACAATTCTGAATCCACAGGCCACTGCTGCTGCTGGCCCAGTGACCATACCTGGGAAGTCAATGCTCCATCTGAAGCCCTCTGAAGAGCATCTGCAGTAAAAACTCACCAGAGGCCACTGGGATTATTTTGACAGTGTGAGGAGTGGTCAAGGGATCCAAGAGATCGATTCCCAATTCCTTTCAACTAGGAAGAACCATTTCCCTTGACTCCTATCAGCCAAGTAAAGGCAGTTCATTCAGCCACCACCCTGTGCCCCTAGGCCTTTGGACACCGGGGAACAGTTTTCCGGAACCTCCAAGATGCTCTGAAATTCAAGATGCATAAAGTGCAGGGAACAGGTGAGTAATAAGACTGAGGTGACATGGCTCAACTAGTCAGTGGCAGAGACAGGGGCCAAACTCACAAACTGCAGTGAATCACAGCACCCTGCCATAATGAAACACACACAGTGATTATCAAGACAGAAAACC